AAAGATCATCAATATAACATAGAGTAAGCATGTATGTTACGATTTAATAATTAATTACACCCTAGGGATTATCTAGGTGCACAGAACACAAGCCAGAGGGAAGAAGGAAAAGAAGAACTTGCCTGTGATTTCAGTAATGAAATCTCGGTGTTGTCTTTAAGTTTCCGGCAACTGCTAACTTCCTTCAAGCCTCCTATGGGTTTGACTTAATCCCCCACAACCCTCCCTTGATCCTCTCTATTCTTCTCCTTGGTAACTCTTATGATTTCCTCTGTTCTCTCAACTCTCTCTTAGTTATGTTATATTTCCACTGTGCCGTGAATAAGGTTCTCCCAACCCTCAGTAAAAACTCATACACGTATATATATAGGCACTTAGAAAACCCTAATTAAACTAGAGCTAAGACAGAAACCCTAATCAAACTAGAATCGGCCGATAAAATCCTAATCATATACATATATAACAGATACCTATATGATGTCCCAATAAAACCCAAATCTTAAATAAATAAATGAAAACAAATAATTAAATTAAAATAGTAAATCAAAGAATTAAAACTACATCATTTAAATCAACTTACCAAATAAACCAATTCAATTAAATCAAATAACCAATTAAATTACACAATTAAATCAAATAATGAAAGAAAACAATTAAACACCTAAGCAACTAGTCACATAACAAAATGAAATAAAAATAATTGAAATTCCAATTTTATCCTTTTTAAAACAAAGGGTATTACAATACAACCCTAGCTAAATCCTCCGTGGCAAGTTGAAAAGTCAAAAGCCTCGAAAGATCAAATCTTGAGCACTCTAAGCCCTGGCATCGCTCCAGGCCCTCAAGCCTCGAAAGATCAAATCTCGAGCACTCTAAGCCCTGGCAGCGCTCCAGGCTCTCAAGCCTCGAAATATCAAATCTCGAGCACTTTAAGCCCTAGCATCGCCCCAGGCCCTCAAGCCTCGAAAAATCAAATCTCGAGCACTCTAAGCCCTGGCATCGCTCCAGGCCCTCAAGTCTCGAAAGATCAAATCTCGAGCACTTTAAGCCCTGGCATCGCTCCAGGCCCTCAAGCCTCGAAAGATCAAATCTCGAGCACTTTGAGCCCTGGCATCGCTCTAGGCCCTCAAGCCTCGAAAGATCAAATCTCGAGCACTTTAAACCTTGACATCGCTCCAGGCCCATCAAGCCTCGAAAGTTCAAATCTCGAGCACTCTAAACCCTGGCGTCGCCCTAGGCCCAATAAGCCTCAGGAAGCTGATCTTCGAGCATTCCAAGTCCTGGTGCCACACCAGGCTCATCAAGTCTCGAGAGACCGACTCTCGAATATCCCGAATCCTGGTGTTACGCCTGACGATGCTGTCTTGAAAGATCGGAGCTCCTTAGCACGAGATTAAGGTAGGATCTTCGTGTTATAGGAATCCATGTTTGGGAAACTTAGGAGGATCTTGGATTGGTGGATGAGAAGTCAAGAGGTACCTTCACTCTCGGCAAGGCCAATTAACAAGATGATGGGATTATACACGTCGTGACAGCAAACCTTAAAATCACAATTAATGCTGTGTCAGGCTTGACCAACCGACGGCCAAACAACATTTAATACCCCTGATTAGGGGAGAAGTGACATGGCAACATGGGATAAGGCTCGAGGAAAGGATTAGACCCTTCAGACCCCTAAATCTTCAGGATTACTCACGTAATCCGGATTGGGGGTGATGCATGCGAGGAACCATGCATAGAGGGGACCATTGGATAATGACCAGTGGAATCTAGATCTACAAATGGCACTGTCCTATGAAGAAAGAACCAACCTCCCAAACGGAAGAAAAGCTGTCATGAAATACTGTATACTTGCTCTACCACCATCTTGATCTTGATAGCTGGTCTTCTTCTCCTCCTCCTACACTGAGCATCTCCTCTGTTTTCCTTCGTATTTGTATTCCTGATATTTCTATTTTATTGCTATTTTATTACCTAGTAAAAAAGAACCCCTCCACTCTCTAGTTAAAATGGTTCTTAGTTGGACGGCTATCCCTTGAGTGAGTAGTTAGCTTAATCAGCAAATAATTAATCAGCGTACTTTATTTTCAACAGAACAACTTAATTTGCTCCCACCTAAACTTGTTCGGATAGATCTGCTAGAAAATGAGATCCAGTGGACCGGTGGCAAAACATAGCCAATGCCGTTAGTAATGAAAAGCAGAGGCGGTCTCCTAAATCCCTAATGTCTCCTTTAACTTGTAGGGAAGTCCTTATGTGAGGCAGAGATGTCCCATCCCCTTTACGTGCGAGTTAATCTGTTATATCTTGTTACAAGTGAAACTCATTTTCACTGTCATCCACACCCATTAATTATAATAACCTATATTGATTTTGAGTACTCGAATTATTCTCATGCTGGTGCATCAGTCTACAAAAACGTAGAGCACCTAAAGGAATGTAATCAATCGTCTCTCCTATCCCATCATTGAGTACAAGATCACCAACACCATCTCCTTGCCCATCCCCAATTGCCAACTTATAATCTTACTTTCCTACAAGAACATTCCACAAGGGAGATCAATCCGTGCTCCAAAATTCAATTTTCAGATTCAATACCAATACATAAAGTTTGATATAACTTTTTATTACAATTTTGAGTCATGATTGACACAGTTTTAACTTTTGCAAATGGGCTATTAATAAACCATGTGGATTCACTTTATCTTTCTTTCAATTTACAAACTGAAATAATTAGAGAGCTAAGTTGATATACCACACTACGACTATAGTGGACAAACTTCTAAACATGGCATACAGTTCTATAGATATGGAAGAAAACGTATACTACTGGGAAGAAAAACTCGTGCTATCATCATTAACGACCAAAGCTACAAAATCTAGTTCACAACTCAAATAAATCACACCCCATATAGTGTGGTTGAAATTATATATAGTAACACTGAGAACAAAAGCTGAAAACTAGCTACTTATCATATTTTAAAAAATCATTACTCTATATATACCATAATTAACAGAGGTAAAGGGATTATTCATTACATGTTCATAAGTGGTGGACAACTGGAAACTACATCCAATTGATTTGGTGAGTGGTTGACAACTCGAAACTACACAAAGGCCATATATGAATTATTTTCAGCCACTCTGAAATGCAGCGGACATGATATATATGAGAGCATGGCATGCGTGTGACTGTGGACCCAATGAGTATCTCACATGATATACATGAGAGCATGACATGCGTGTGACTGTGGACCCAATGAGTATCTCATTGTTGCATATAACATTGTTCGTCGTCCTTATGATCACCTTCAAATTTCAGGGTCTCTAATACCTGGAAGTAAGCACTCCTTCATTGCTTGTTCCAAGAATGACAAATTGTCTTGTTCATACTTGTTGTACGAGAGGGCTTTCTCCGCTGTTTCTCTTGCCCTTCGTATTTCCCTGTGTATGTAAAGGGTAATACCGAGGTGAGTGTATCAAACAATATTGCCAAGAAGTCTTAACTCAAGTTCTTCCTTCTCCTTTTCCCGGCTTCAATTTCATGGCGGGGTAAAATCACTCTATTTTCTCAATGTTCACGGACAAATCGAATAGCTTGTGATCAGATTCGGAAAATCAATTGAACGTGGAACGAAACTCATCCAAAACATGAGTGATTAGGTCGTGGCTGTTCTCCAACACAGGCTCCGATGGTTTGAGGTCACGTTGGATCACAGCTATTGAATTCTGGAAACTTAATCCCACGAGCTCAGTACTGATATCAATACAGAAAGTAGCTACATATGGCAAAGCTTTGATTTCCCATCAGACACACTTTTACCTGGGAAAAAAAGTGGCCACCGGCGACCTATTCTTTTCTTTATCTTTCTTTATATATATATATACACATACATAGGGACTAGGCGACCCCTTTATGTTGGTAGGTTTAAAGGTGTGGGGATGGATAGGTGTGTGTGAGTAAATATTCTAGGTGCCATTACATTTTCAAATCATGCTGTAAAATATGTGTATAGCAAACTAACTTGAATAAGTCAAGTTCTCTCTAACGGTGTTAGAGAAGGGGATGTCCATTCCAGCGATGATTGTGGAGATGAGATCATAGGTTAGCGGAAATTTTGATGAGAACCCTCCCATAAGTTCTCGGGTGTCGGCGGCCGTCTCTGTCTCTTCCTTTTAAGTGCTCTATCTGTTGAATGAAGTCCGGTGGACAAGGAACCTGATTATGGGTCCGCGCAAGGCAGGTACTCGTCATCATCAACTTCAATCATACCACCATCATCCTTAACTTGGAGCTCAATTTTATTTTATTTATTTATTTTTTTTTTTGATAAGTACTTAACTTGGAGCTCCATTGTGGCGATATATAGCAGATCGAAAAACGCGAGATCGATCTATTTCCTAGATAAGGGAATTGAATCGAAGGAGTTACTGCGTGAACTTGTGTGTGCCTATGCTCCTCTAATTTTACCTAATCATTGTGGGACTATAACTTCCATGAATCCTTTTCGTGAATAAACTTATACCACAACCTCTTTTTTTTTTCCTAATTCTTGTAATTTTTTTTTTTCCCTAATTCTTAACCTAATATTTGTGGGACTATAACATCTTGTACCTCGACATTTTTTTTTTTTATCCTAATTATTCTTCATCTTTTTTATTATTATTATTATTTTCTTTTGCTGATATAGAAATAAATAATAAATAAAAAAAAAAGTTACAACTCAAAAATAGTAATTTTCTGTTTAGGAGGATGGAAAGAAAATAGGTGATAAAAAAAGATAAGAAGAAACAAATAAATTTTCATATTTTACAGATTTTTATCCCTTAAAAGATGACGGAAGATAAGCAAAGATTATATGTTCATAAAATAAAGTGTAAAAAACCCATTCAACTATATCCTTCAAAAAAAAAAAAAAAAAAAAAAAAAATTTCCTCCTGCCCAATCCAATGACCTGCCAATTGAATTTAAAAGCATACCGGTTACGTGACATCTAAAATTTAATTAAATTACCTTCCGAAAAAAATAATAATAATAATAATTCAATTGAATGACCATATACAAAAAAACATAAAAACAAAAAATAAAAAAAATAAAAATCGGTACACCAATCAAATACTCGTCTCCTCTTTGTTCTGAGCTACCTTCCTCTTCTTCATGAGATGCATCTTCACATGGAACTTCAAGAAAAGCATCAGAATCAAAGAGTTGAGCACTGAATTGAAGACCCAAGCCCCGATCCCATTACACCCACCTTTCATCAAGTGCAACAAAAGCACCCCGACATGACACAACAAATTGCAACCCAGAAGCACAATTTGACAACTCACCACAAACGGAAAACAAGCACTCGGAAGCCCGATTGCGGTCCAGAACTCGTACCCGTACACAACCGAATACACCAACGTCGTCGACAGAATCGCCAGAACCTGAAACGATTGCGAGAATTCAAGCCACAGGAAGGAGATGAAGATCTGAATGGAGTGGTTGAAGAGCTGAGAGAGTGACAGTTTTCGACGACGAACAATTGTGAAGCACGTTCGGGTTGTGTGGAGGAACCGAGAGAGGTAGAAGATGTAGGACCAGAAGAATACCCGACCCGAGGGACGGGTGCCGAGTGGGAAACAGAGGAGCCACTGGAAGGGGGTCTTGGAACGCCGCCAGAACCAGCGGGTGTCGCGGATCTCGGCGGCGGCGGAGAGGAGGGCTCCGGCGAAGATGGTGGCGGAGAGGAGGGACATGGAGAGGCTGTGGAGGGCTGGGATGGGGCCGAGTGGGATGGGTCGGTGACGGCGGACGAGGAGGAGGAAGAGGTGGAGGAGGAGGGATAGAATGAGGTAGGAGGATATGGAGGTGAAGAGGAAGGACCACGTGGAGCCCCAGGATTGGGAGTGACTCCAGCGGAACCCGACGATGGATGGGTGCTCCGATAGGTAATATGTTAGGCTCTGGATCATCATTCCGGTCATTCCATGATCATGATGGGAGGGAACGGACGGTGGAGGTGAGTTCTCGGTTTAAAGGAAACTTTGAGCTGAGAAGATAAGAGGGCATTAAAATAGGGACGTGAATGCTCCAGTGTTGGTCATCAAAGTTGAGAACAATTGCATTAAAATTCTCAAATTACGCAGTGATTCATTTCTTGTGCAGCAGCCCAGCTACTCACATCGGCTAACAGTTGGGCTCCACACGTGGTGGTGTATAGGTCGGTAGGAAAAGTTTTCCTTTTTTATTCTTGAGATTCAATACTCGTAATTCATATATGATTTGTTTAATTATTTTAATAACTAATTTGTTAAATAATTATTGAGTTAAATGTTTTAATTCATATTTTAATTATTTCGGATAAGGATTAAAATTTGAATATTGACATATCTAGTTGCAATATTATGTGAAGTGAAGAGTTGTTAGCATTATATAGGATGATGCAAAAATCTAGTGGTAAATAATTAGAAAACTGATACTACTATTGGCGTACAATCAGTATCCTTTTTTAAATATAAAATTACAAAAAAAATCCTTCCATCACATAATGCTTTATTCTTACCTTTTTAATAACTTATTGTCTTCCTTTATTAACTTAATTACTAGGTTAAGACTCTACCAAAAGGAATTCAATCATCTAGCATTCTTAAATTGAAATTTGATAACACATCTCAGTGACTTCCTTTCACCAAAATTGTCCTCCTCTATTAAGGTTAATTATTAGGTAAACATCTTTTTTAAAATAAAATAAATAAAAATAAATAAATAAAAAAAACTATTGAAACTTTTAAACATTTCTCGGCACACGAATAACGCAAAACATTTATATTGTTTGTTACTAATCATTCATCTCGCATTTTTGTCGCTAATCTTTTCACAATGTTTAGTCATAGTTCTTCACTATGCAATTAGTAACACTGAGCTTTGTTAGGTTCATGATTCATGAAATTGAGTGTGCGAATAAGGATTCAATTATGGCGCCAATGCGATTGAGCCTCTATTAAAATTTCCAAAAACAAACCATATAGATGCTTTATGTTATTCGTGTGCAGAGAAATGTTTAAGGTTTCGTTTGGATACACAGGAGAGAAAAGAAAGGAAATGATTATAAGAGAAAAGAAAAGAGAGGAAATGATAATTATAATTTATATTCATATTCGGATAGAAAGGAGAGAAAAGAAAGAAATTGGCAATATTATTGTTTAGATAACACAAAGGAGAGAAAAGAAGGAAAAGGATAATAATGAAATTACCATCTTACCCTTTTTGGTAGGGCTAATAGGGCAAAATCATTTCAGCCTCTCATCGCTTCCATCTCTAATCTCCTCTCTCTCTCTCTCTCCAACTGCATATCAGCATATCATTTCAGATGGTTCCAAAAATCAAAACCCATATATTTCAAGCTTGCCCCCCTCTCTCTGCAACTGCTAACTTGTATGTAAGGGTTTCATTTTAAATTTTTTTCTAAAATCAACTAATTAAGGTCTGTAATTCTTGTTTTGCAACTCTTTCTCTCTCTCTCTGCAACTGCAAACTACAAACTACATATATATATATATATATATATATATATATATATATATATCAGCCTCCCCAATAGCCTCCATCTCTTTCTCAGCCTCATTCTCTCTCTCTCCAACTGTAAAAATCAAAACCCATATCCGCATATCATTTCAGATTGTTAAAAAAATCAAAACCGATATCTATCAGTTTCTATCACCTGCTGTTCTAGTCCAGTTCGGTCGCCGTTCACAAATCAAAGCTTCTGCCGGCTGTCTCTCAACTCTCTTGCTCCTTCTATAATTTGCTTCATTTCTTTCCAAATCCCTTAAAATCTTGTCAATTTTGGAGGGATTCCAAATAAGGGATTTTGAGGGATTTCTCCAAATCCTTTCTTTTCTCTCCTATTCCTCCCATCCAAATACGCTCATGTAATACCCCTAATTTCAAAAGGGATAAAAATGGAATTTAAAATTTATTTTTGTGCATTTTAAATTGATTTTGTATCTATATGCTTATGTGTCCAATTGTTTGTTTATTTTAATTCATTGTGTTATTTTTTAATTGTTTGTTTATTTTAATTAAGGGTGTAATTCTTTATTTGTTTGTTTATTTTAATTAATTGTGTTATTCTTTATTTAGTTTAATTAAAATTAAGTTAGTTTATTTAAGTTCAATTATAGTTTTGATAGCAATTCAAGTATAGGTGACTGAGTATTGTAACCTAGGTTGCTCTATGGGCCGACTAGGATTTAATTAGGGTTTTACTCTAATTATATATGGACGGGATTCTGTTCTAGCATATATATAGAGAATAGAGTGGTCTGTTAGGGTTAGCAAAACTCTTTGCATGTACCTATAAGTTAGAGAGAAAAACAGAGAGTTTAAAGAGAAGGGGATGAAGGTTTTGGCACAAGGGATTTGGGCTGGACCAAGGATGATGGTTGAGGGCTATTCGAGGGTTAGAACCGGAGTAGGAGAGTCCTTGACGGCAGTCGAGATCGCCGGAAAAACTTAGAAAGACGGCGACATGGTTTCATCCAAAATTGAAAAGGCGAGTTCTTTTCTTCCTCTTTCCCATGACCTGTGTTCTATGCACCTAGATGTTCTCTAGGGTTTAATTCATCGTTAACTGAGAATACATGTTTATTATATGATATTTTGATAATCTATATGTGTTAAAATAACTTTGTTACAGTAGTTGCAAATCTGGGTTCAGTGTTGGTTCTGTATGCCTATTAAAACTGTTGAAAGTCCAATCTCTGTAATTGATTCCAACGAACTATAAATAAACCATTGAGATGCTATTGGGTGTTATTAAGACTATTAGGATTTGTTTTAAAGCCAAATAGAAAGGCTGGTAGAGGTGGAAAATGACCGGAAGCAAAGCAGAGAGTCGCAGAGGTTGGAGACGGCTCTTAAAAGGGGAGAGAGCCGGCTCCATGGAATGAGGGAGCCGGCTCCCTCATCTTTTCTAGGTAAAGAGCCGGCTCCATGAAGTAATGGAGCCGGCTCAAGGCTCTAAAAGAGCCTGCTCTTTCCAAAAATTGAGCAGGCTCTCTTGGAATTTCATTTTTGATTTTTTTTTTTTTTTTTTTATTACGAATTACCTGTTACTGTTGGAGGGTTGTGAGTCTGGGACTGAGTTGGAAGTAAACTGAGGTGTTTAACATGTCAGTTGGGTGTTCTTAATGGTTCTCAGTGCGTGGTTTATACAGGTAGACAAGTAGAATGCATAATACGGAATTAAACCTATTTGCATGCGATTAACGGATGGAAAAGATTTAAATTACCTAATTCTAAATTAGTGATTTAATTAGTATAGCATGAATTTAAAACTTGTTTTAAATGCATATTAGGGTCTTCTAGTGAACAGAGTTGGTCCTATGCATGTTTCAGATTTTAGTTGCTAAACTACTCTGTTATAAATCTGTAGTTTGCATGGTTTTGAACGGAATGGTATTGTAGGATTTAATTGGGGTAATATACACACGGTTAAGCAATTAACTGGATTTTGGCTTGGAGTTGGATTATGGTTTTGGAGGTGGTTGTTGGAATATTAAACTTTACATAGATTAACGTTTGGTTTTACGTTGCTGAAATACTAAATACTATTCTGCAATGATATGGATGGTTGGTTTTGGACTATAAATTACGTGCTTATTATTTATGCCTTGTAATTTACCTGGAATTATGTATTGGAACATAATTGCTGAATTCTTATACTTAATTCGGTCAATTATTTGGAATCATATATTGGATTATAATTGCTGAATTCTTATATTAAATTTGGCCAATTATTTGGAATTATGTATTGGATTTTAATTGCTGAATTCTCACATTAAAATTCTGTCAATTATCTGGGTTTGGTTTTGCATTGTAAATTACTTGCTTATCATTTGAATGTTGTAATTTGCATGGATATGGAGGATTGTATGCACCGGTATGGGACGGTGGCATAATAGGTATGGTTTAGCTCAAAATGCTAATTCCTACCTTATGGATTTTAATTGGTGAACAGTTTTGCCTGTTCTATCAATTATATGGATTTTGTGGATTCTATATACCGGTATGAGATGGTGACATACTAGGGACAGACTGATTCAAAATACTCAGTCCTACCTATTTTGGGAAGAAGGGTATGAATTATAAAAACATAATTCTCCTTATATTTAAGTCTGTGCAGTTGAATAAACTGAACGACTTACTGGATCTCTTATATAAGTCTGTGCAGCTGAATAAGCTGAACGATTTATTGGAGTTCCTATGGATGGATTTGAATGGACTTTAAATATATGGTTATGGTACCACGAGATGAGCTTGAATCTCAGACTCGTTGGTTAGGACGCGTATATGCAGTGGATGCGTAGCTAGCTATAGTAGGTTGAGGTGTACCCTGTTAGGTCTAGGTACTCATGCCCACCTTTGGGTGCGTTTTCGCATGTTGCCTTCTATTCAGGTTGAGACCCCTATTGTAGTTCAGTGAATGTCCCATAGTGTAGATATATATATGTATGGACTAGATAGATATTGTGAGGTATCTACGGTGTATCTGCGTATCGGGTCACTGTATGGATTGCAGCTAGATTAGAACTTGCTCGTGGGCCTGACCCACTCTTCTATTATTCTTTACAGGTGTTCGTCAATTCCAGGCTGCAGAGCTTAATCGTGCTGAGCAGATATAGTTGTTCACTCCACCGATGACATTGGAATATATTTTGTGTTTAGACTTAGGTTTTGTTTCCAGTCTTTTGAGTTCAGTGGGTTATTTTAGGGGTCCACTGGATGGATTCCCAAGTTATATAAGTTGGAGAACGATATGTGTTCGTGGTGATTCAGTTGTATCTGAAATATCTTATTTATCGATGGAGTTATTTATTCTGAGGTTTTCAAATATGGGATTACTCTTTTAGTTTTCATTTCAGTAAATTTTATTTATCTCTTTTGATATAATTATTCTGTGTTCGATTATTGCTAATTGGTTTGATATCCTCGGGTAATCGAGCATGGGCCTGGCCAACCCGCATCTGAAAATCTGGGGGTATCACAACTCATCACTATCCTTCCCTTTCTTTTCTCTCTAAATCCCTTAATCCAAACGAAGCCTAAAGGTTTCAGTCTCCCTTACAACAAAAGCTTCCATTGTAATTTCAGAGTTTTGCTTTGATACTGTCTTATCTTTGGAATGATTACATTGGTGTCTTGGATTGCATATGAATTTGTCTTAGGTATGAGTAGACATAAGTCATTGTTAGGAGAGTGATTTTATTGTTGTTTTGAGTTAAATAACTTTCTGAAATATTTTTGCTAATTTATTTTTGTGGTTGTTTTGAGTTGAATGACTCTGAACAATTTTGCTAATTTTTTTGTTAGATGTGATGTGGGTCTAATTGAATTCATATGAAGTTCGTTAGATAATATGATAAAAGGTGTTATGAATTATGAAATATGTATGATTCAAAGAAGATCAAATACATGACGTGTATTTGAGAGAAAGAATAATAGTTGAATTTCATGGGGATGCAAAGAAGATCAGATAGAAGATGCCTGGGTGAAAGAGAATAGTAGGTGGATTTTACAGGAGTCATATCCTTATCAAATAAGGGCAATTATGACATAAAAATATAATAATCAATCATTGTGTAGTATAAGATTTTTGAGTAAATTTTTTTTTTTCCTAATTGATACTTATATACACGTCTCTTTTGAGATTTGAATTCCGAATCCTTTTTTTAGAAGTTAAAAGGCTAATACCGCTAAGCCACTGACCCGTTAGTATTTGTTATTTATTAAAATAAAATTACTTAAAAAATGAGTAATTTTATTTTAAAAAGAAAGAAGAGTGAAGCGCCAAAGGATATTGGTGGAGCTCCAATATCAGCTGCCAATAATTAATAGATATATATATGAATTTTAACCAAATCGAATCATTGTTAGCCCAAACTAATTACTATAGTTGGAAATAAAGTGGGCAAGTGTTACAAGGGAGGCTTGTCCCACATCAAATCTAATATATGGGTTGGGTGTTAGCCCCACCTAATAACTTAAATTTTGGGGTCAGACCGCGAAAAACTTGACCTGTTACAACTAGTATCAAAGTTAGGTCCATTACTTGATCTGGTGACAAGCCAAGCGCCTAGCGCGGAGGGGTCCGGGTGAGCTATTTGGGTAGAGAGTTTCGGTGGGGAAAATATTGTAAGAGGGATTTATCCCACATCGGATCCAGATAGGGAAGTGAATAGTAAGTCAATTGGCCCTTCCATGGTACCTGAGGAAGTATTAGGTTTAAGGTTTAACTCTTCTTGATAACTCGATCCATTAACATGCTACCATTATATTAGTGCGAAATACATATAATATAACACTAAATATTTCAAAAAATATTCCCGAAAATTGATTTTTATTGTAAAAGGTCAATAATGTCCTTATATTTCATAAAATTTGGTCAATAGGTATCTCAAAAAGAAAAAGTTAAGGGTGTCATTGAGCACACGCATCAAATCTCTGGAGAGGTCAAAGTAATAAACGTTAAATGGTTTACCCGTGTGTAATTTGTCCAAACTTCAAGAGAGTTTAGTGTAATTTATCCCAAAATTTATGTAACATGTAAATACATAAATAAAATAAATAAATAGAAATAACTCGCTAATAAGTACGACTGTAACTCGGGCGAGTAGCCCAATCCGGCGTATGAAATGCCTGACCCAAACCCAGTCCTAACACTGCTACCTTCAATCCTCACTATTCAATCCGATTTCAACCCATCTTTTTATTTATAATTTCGAGTTTGTAATTCGGATTTAGATTTTGAATTAAAAAGTTGGATTAATTTAGTTTATGCATAAGGCCAATCTTTACAAATTTTAATATGATCTTGAGTTAATTTTTGATTAAATTACTTTTAATTAAAAAAATATTTAAAACTTATTACAAAGAAGGTCAATCTTAATTAAGTTCGGATTGGTAAGAAGTTCCCCATGCTAATCCCCTTGACAAAGTCCCACCAAAAATAAAATAAAATAAAGGAGAATGTTGGATGGTCAAGACTGTTTTGCAGGCAGATTAGAAAGGGATGGGTCCGTTCATTGCTGAAAGCTGTATAGTACAGTGAACCAAAAAAAAAACAAAAAAGGAACTTTTACTTTTTTATAGATGTATACACCATTTAATGTTAATCGGAGATTTGGAATGATATCATCTCACCAATTTTTAAAGATGATGCCATAACAACCCTTGAATAGGACTCGCCCGTCAAATTCTTAAATCCATGATGGTGACTTGTTTGTTTTAGATACGAAATGTTTTTAGGAAGAAATTTTTGGCATTTTACAATTTTTTATTATGCATAAAATAAAATAAAAAATTGACGTCTAAATTATTTTCCTTCAAGTTTCAAAAATGACAACCTTGGAATTTAAGTCAATTTTGAAATTTGTAAGACCCGAAACTAAAAACAACCAAGAAGAAGAAATTGGGCCAAACTCACCCCTATCGAAGAACTAAGGTGGCTCTGATGTAAATATTTTAAAAATATTTTGGTATTAGGTTGTCTTATATTATTTAAAAAAGAAAATTTTTAATTTTAAAAAAAAAATAACTTATTCATTAATTTTTGATAAATTATTTTACATGTCTCAATCATGAACTTATCAAAAACTTTGCTAACTATAAAAAAAATTTAATAAAAAATATTTTACTGTGAAAATAAATGAAGCTCAAATGTAGAGGCCCCATCTCACTGCAACACACGCTATAGATTTTGGTTTTTAAAAATGCCATTTTCATGGCTCGAGCCAAACCTACGTGTAAAATATTAGATTATAAAAACATTTTACGCGGAAACGAGTAATGATCCATGTATCTGAACCACTATCCGACTATTTCATTGGGTTCGTTGGGAATATAATCGGTTGGCAAAGCCCAACTAGGCGTTTCTTTTGGGCCGCCAATTTTGACCCAAGATCTTGATTCCTCAACTTTTCAACCCACTGCATATCTTCACAATCAGAGCCGTATGATTTAACTAAGTTGGGAGGTCGTACACCGTGGGATTCAATTCGTATTTTAATTAAAATGCAATTGAGCTGTACGTAAGATAATTCTAATAAATTCGACCCAATTAAGTCCATATTCTTTTCTTTGGTAGGTAAAGTCCAAACGTTTCAGTACGCTAAGAAAAAAGTCCAACGTTTCACTTTTCAGAGAACACTCGAATCTTCCACAGAAATTTTTGGCTTCTTAGATACTCCAATTGGCTCAAAATCTTCATGCCCATCATCAGTAGATTCATCAACAATCGAACGAACAGGTTACTTTTTATTTTTATTTTTATTATGCTGTATCAATTTGATGTCTTTGATTCTTGAATTCTTGGGTCTGAGTTTGTTTTGGTAGTAATAAAATCAGAGATTTTATTTTTTATTTATAATACCATCTTGTGCTGTTTATGTGGAATTTAGATCATTTAAACCATAGCACTGTTTTTTTTTCCCCTGCTTTGAACTGTTTGGATTCCTAATCGTATGGGACTTGATTGATTCCTAAAATAATCTAGGGTTTTGATTCCGAGGTTGATCTGTCTTTGGGGGTCGGTTTGTGTGTATATATTTGTGTTATGTATATTTGTGTATTGGTTTGGGGAGAAGAAGGTATTGAATTCTTTATTTAATGTAAAAAACTTTATCTATAGGGTATTGAATTATGGATTTAAATTAAAAACTTTATCTAGTAACTGTTTTGTTTTTGGTTTCAATTTAGGAAGATTTATGATTTTTCCATATCAATTCTTGGGAAAATATACATCTGCAGTGTATCTAGTTTTTTTTTTTTTGGGTGACTTTGTTGTAAAGTTGGATGAATTCTTGGGAAAAAGGATACCTCTTGCAATGTTTAAATCATTTTATCTAGATTGATTTTTTTATTTTTAAACTTTGATGTAAACTCAGATGAATTATTGGGAAATTGAACCCTTTTCCATTGTTCAATGCAGTATATCTAGGTTTTTTCTTTTTTTTTTTTCTTTTTTTTTTTTTGTCGCTTTTTTTTACTTGTTTGCTGTGAAGTTGATATCAATTTGCTGTGCTGATTTTGTTGTTTATGATTACACCCAGACAGGAATTTGGATTTATTAGTTTACAAAGCTTGTAAATGGCAAGTGATATTGGGGAATCAATAGGCAGGTCATCCCAAAGCCCGTCTTGCTCGGGCAATGGTAGCAATGATGCCGGTGATTTTGAATGCAATATATGCTTTGAATTAGCTCAAGATCCAATTGTCACTCTTTGTGGTCACCTATTCTGTTGGTCTTGTCTTTACAAATGGCTCCACCTTCACTCGCATTCTCAAGAATGCCCAGTTTGTAAGGCCATGATAGAGGAGGAGAAGTTGGTTCCTCTTTATGGAAGAGGGAAGACATCAACCGATCCAAGATCGAGAACGATCCCCGGCATTGATATCCCTAACCGACCGGCAGGGCAAAGACCAGAAACAGCTCCTCCACCAGAAGCAAACAACTTTTCCCAGCATGGATTTGGATTCATGGGAGGGTTCATGCCTATGGCAAGTGCAAGGTTTGGCAACTTTACGATGTCTGCTTCCTTTGGTGGTTTATTACCATCATTATTTAATATTCAGGTTCATGGATTCCCCGATGCTACTGTATATGGGACGACTTCTGGGTTCCCATATGGGTTTTCCACTGGATTTCATAGGGGACACGTTCAAAACTACCCTCACATGGCAAGTCAAGGACAGGCGGATTATTATCTGAAGATGCTTCTTTTGATTATAGGTGCCTTTGTGATGCTTGCTCTCATTTGGACATAAATGATTTATCCACTTGGATTCAATCTGCCAATGGTCCATGGTCTGGTAACTGTAAATTCTGTGGGCTTCAGCTTTTGTGCTTGAGAAAGTTATCCTATGGTATTTTGTCAGTACTCACTGTTCCCATTACTTTGTGCCTTCAGAATATGCAATGAATCTGTTTGTTACTCTTAATTAGATTGCAAATTTTGTTCACCTTCTCCTCCTTAAACCTCTCTTCCTTTCCTTGGGGGTGTTTTATGCATGACTCTACACACACAGTGTGTTTAGGTATTGAAAGTTTCTTCTTTGTTTGATTTGTTTGCTGTTTGAAGTGTTCATTCTTCCATATGCTTCTTTCATTTATTTTGTCTAATGTTGATGTTTTTTTGATACATTCCATTCTTTTTTGAGCATGGGTGCTGTAAGCTAAAGATGATTTCCACTTTTAGAGACGGAACTACTCTTTGATATTGTCTCTTAAGGTCTTGTGCTTTTCTTTATCCATAGCGGATACCATTCACTTTCAAGAAAGCTTTAAAAGTTGGGGATTGATCAAGAAATAGGGTAAATAAATTGATATATAAAGAAAAAGAAAGCGGGATTAATTTTGAACATTCTGATTACAGAAAGAGTTGGCCATAGTTCCGTTACAAACGGTCTTGGTCTTCTTGAACTTCCTCTAAAGTATGCTTGAATTGTTGGTCAGTCCAAGAACATGCTTCTACTGAGCAAGTTCGTAATGTGTTTCGGCTGCAGGGCGACCAGGTTCCACCGGTGGTTATTTTTGCTCCTCTGATTTCACGCAGGAGGCTCTGGAGAGAGAGAAACTGACTCTTATTTTAGAATAATAACTTGCAATTTCAGATGTGAGAGGATTGAGTGACTTAGTGAGAACAATGCCATTGCAGGACAGAGGAACATTCTTGTTGTGGCTTTTTACTTTTCCTGTTACTGGTTTGAACCAATCTAAATTCCAAGTTTTGACATGTTCAATCTTCCTTGAGTAAGTTTTGAAATGTTTCTGATAATTGATTATAGGAACTCTCTCAGCACTTTTATGCCAAATTCAACAGTGTCAAGCGGCAGCTATTTTGACCGTCCTTACCAACTTTTCATGCCGTGTTCAAGACCAAATTACACAACATCATTTCAAAATTTTCGACAAATTTAATAGCTTTCTAATTTTCAATTTTGTTCTCTCTCTTAAAATCTAAAATTTGCCTCCACAACTGCTTTGCCATGTTTGAAGGCACCAACCAAACATAAAGTTGACTTTCTTTTGCCGAGTTCAGCTGGTCGGCAAAAAAGATAAGCTTGTACATCTCCAACCAAGTATTCCCTCCATACCAACTTGTTCCAGGAAATTGCATTCTACACGTTTTTAGACTTTTCCTAACAGAGCACTTGAGCTCCAACTTCCAAATACATCCCCCCACCACCAATCTTTTTCTTTTAAATATGGAGGAAAAAAACACCACTTTGAGGCTCATTCCATTGAACAAAAATGGATTTTTTACCCTTTTTGTCTCTCTTTCTGATCTCTTGCTCTTCTTTGATCCATGCTCAGCAGCAATATGCTAAGAAGACAACTACAGATTGTGGCACAGCAGATAATTCAACCTCAGTTCTCGGGTACTCCTGCAACGGCCTAAACCGGACTTGCCAATCTTACCTCACCTTCAGATCTCTACCCGGATATAACACAGTCTCTTCCATCTCTCATCTATTGGGTGCTGACCCATCACAGCTCTCTAAGCTTAATTCAGTTCCTGACAACACCACTTTTGAACTTGATCAACTGGTGCTTGTTCCTGTGACCTGCTCTTGTTCAGGTGACTACTATCAATCAAATGCATCCTATGTTGTTGCTAATGGAGACGGTGCTTTCGTGATTGCCAACAACACCTTCCAGGCCCTCTCTACCTGTCAAGCTCTCCTGGCTCAAAACGGACTTAATGTATCTAGCATTTTAGATGCTGGTTCAACAATTACTGTTCCTCTTAGATGTGCTTGTCCCACGAAGAACCAGATTGATATGGGTGTAAGTTATCTATTGAGTTATCTAGTTGCTCAAGGGGAGTTTGTCTCTGCCATAAGTGCAATGTTTGGGGTGGACACTGGGAGGACTCTAGAAGCCAATGGTCTATCTGAACAGGACTCTACCATTTATTTCTTTACTACACTTCTAGTTCCTCTCCAAAATCCACCTTCTCAGACCATAGCGCCGCCACCACCACTGGCATCGTCTCCACCACCACCACCATCTACCCCTTCATCGAATAACAATTCGAGTAAAACCTGGGTATATGTTGTTGTTGGAGTTCTTGGAGGGGCTGCGGCTATTTTGGCCACTGGGGGCATTGTTTTCTTCATGTTCTTCCGTAAAAATAAGAGAAAAACTGATCCAATTATCATATCAGCGCGTGAGAAACCAAATGGAAAGAAGTTGGAGGAAGAATCCAAGTATTTCTTGGATAGCATATCTAGCATAGCTCAATCCCTTAAAGTGTATACTTTTGAAGAGCTTCAATCTGCAACAGACAATTTCAGTCCCAGTTGTTGGATTAAGGGATCCGTTTATCGTGGTACAATCAATGGGGATTTTGCCGCCATTAAGAAGATGGATGGAGATGTGTCAAAGGAAATAAGTTTATTAAACAAGATCAACCATTTTAATCTTATCCGCCTCTCGGGTGTGTGTTTCCATGATGGGAATTGGTATCTTGTTTATGAATATGCAGTGAATGGACCTTTGAGTGACTGGATATATCACAACAATGGTGATCAAAGGTTTTTGAATTGGACACAAAGAATACAGATTGCACTGGATGTGGCCACGGGGCTTAACTATCTGCATAGCTACACCTCCCCTCCCTGTGTCCACAAGGATGTACAGAGCAGCAATGTTCTTCTTGACAGTGATTTGAGGGCTAGGATCGCTAACTTCGGTCTAGCAAGGTCAACAGATGTGGAGGGTCTTGCCTTGACAAGGCACATTGTTGGGACAAAAGGTTACATGGCTCCGGAGTATTTGGAGAATGGTTTCATCTCCCCAAAGCTTGATGTTTATGCATTTGGGGTTCTTATTCTGGAAATACTTACCGGGAAAGAAGTTGCTGTTTTGTATGAAGGGGGGGTAAACGAGCACTTATCAGAGATCTTAACTGCTGTGCTTCATGAGGAAGATGGGAAAGAGAATTTGAGTGACTTCATGGATCCTTCTTTGCAAGGAAATTATCCTGCTGAGCTCGCTATTTTCGTAGCCAGATTGGTTGATAGTTGCATAACTAAAGATCCATCAGGTCGCCCGAGCATGGATGAGATTGTGCAGTGTCTATCCAGAACCATGACCACTTCATTGAATTGGGAGTTGTCAAATAGTATCTCTGGGTATCCAAGTTTCACCCAGAGCTTTTAGTTTAGTGTAAGCTTTTTTAGTCCCCCTCTTCTCAATTCATGATTTATTTTATGTATTTAACTCTGAATCAGATATTTCATGTTAATAGTTGCAATATACCTAGTGTAGAATTCATTCTTTCATCTCATCACCTAAAAAGTTGCTATAGCTGGGTTTTTATGGTCCTTTATCTATTGTTGCCCTCAGTTGATGACATTAGTCACACTCTCAGCCATTGTTGCTCACATTTGTCGCTCTCTCTCTAACACACACACACACACACACTTTTGTTGGGTTGGAAACAAGGAATGTGCATCAAATGTGATATGGTCGTTTGAACATCACAAATACTTGCACTAGCATTCAGCCAAACAGACGCATTATCAATATAATCACTAGAGGCTATGACAGCACTATTCAGCCAAACAAACACTTCTTTTCTACAACTTGATAGTCATTAGTACTTTTTACATAATCCCTTATTAGTAATCACTTAATCATGTGTTACAACAATGCCAAATGCAGCCCCGATTGAATGAAAAGGGGAATAAAAAAGTAAGTGTACATGTTCATTTTTCTTTAGAATTACAGATCATCAAGGATTGAACTATATATACCAGAATTTTTCTTCAAATTTCTTTCTACATATTAACAAGCAGAATTTTTCTTCAAATTTCTTTCTATATATTAACAAGCAGATTTTTCTTCAAATTTCTTTCTATATATTAACAAGTATTTCTTTCAAAAGTATTGGGCTATAGTTAATCCATTTTTATTAGTATTTATTGATGATGGATTCTGCGCAATCCGAATCTGATCTGACTTTCTGAACAAAGAGAAGAAAAAGTGATTCTACATGCACCGGTGTGTTACTGGTGGAGTAGGCTCCGACGAACAAGTCAGTGTACAAAGTAATATCTCTGGAGAAATCAAGAAATTGAGTTAGGATAAGTTTCATACCTTAAAACGTCGATTAGCCCCTTTCTTTATAGGGCTTAGGTCAGGATGTAATGCTAAGTTACCGTCGTAACCTATGAGAGTAGTTAGTCTTACTCCTTATTGTAATCTGTAGAGCCTATCTCAATCTTATGAGATAGTGTATTAATTTAACAGCCTTCCCCTATCCTCAGGTATTTAAATTATTCATCCATCAGTTGCCCCCCGTTTCGAAGGATTGCTTGTCAAACCACCGGAACGTTAATTCCCAAATATTACATAATAATAGATATTTAGAATTGTAGATCCGTTCATCCCGTATTTCTACAATAAGTTGATTTGATTATTAAATAGTAAAGCTTTGTCTATTAGCTCGACTCATATTGCCACTTCGCGAACACCGGTGGGGCTGTCAGTGTGATTGTCCTATTCGAGGATTGACTCCTAATCCTATTCTCTGACTAACATGTCGTCTGCGATTACACCTTGTAGAAATAAATTCCTACACAAAATAGCCCGCTGGGAGCTGATTGTCCCTCACGAAGCAGATTTCTATTAGAACTCCACCATAAATTTCTTCCTTATCTTTTTACGTTCTTCTTCTTCTTCTATAAATCGAGATGGTTTAAGTAGAATTTATTCAAATTATTTCCATCTTCCAGAAAGCCAAGTAGTATCAGTCGTAGTGATGTAGTAAGTTCCATGCCCTTGTTTTCTTCCTTTTTCTATTTAATTCATTGTTGTTTCTTCCTCCGACTCATTATACCAAGACCAAAGTTAGAAAATTTAATAGGTCACCATAAGGCTAGGCTCTTGCATACAGCAGCGTATGTTACTACCAACATGTTTCACCCAGAATCCAACACTATGTCAGACGAGGAACACCACTAGTCTGATTCATCTCCGTCAAAGACACATCCGGTACAGGATATAGCAGGCTCCCTTACCCCACATGATTTGGATCAGATCCGGCGAACTTATTCAATTCCAGACAGTGTTGCTCTCAGACTTCCTGCACTTGATGATAGAGCGTTCTCCTTTTACCCAACTGAGATTTGTTTCTGTGAGTCTGCTTTCATTGCCGGATTGTATTTTCTAATCCCTCTTTTTATTAGGGAACTGCTTCATCACCTTATTCTTGCCCCGACTCAACTCTCGCCGAATGCTTGGAGAACAATGATGGGTTGCTTAGTTCTGTGGCGAGCTTGTTGTAATACCTCGCTAACTATCCAGGAATTTCTTTATTACTACATTCCCAAATGGGGTGACTGGTTGTACTTCTCCCTACGTGATAGTATTTTTATCTCTGGAAAGCCCCTTAAACATAAACCATGGAAAGGCCGTTTCTTTTTCGTTTCTGGTGATTGCTGAGAGTTCTTTCCTGATGAGAGTGTTTTCTTTCGAATAGGGACTTCTATTCCTCGTGCGTGGTGTAGTCAGAATTCCATTGGTGAATAGTCCATAATAATACCCTCGTTTTTTTTATAAAAAAAAAAATTAAGTTATTAACAGAGTTGTTGTTCTCTCAGGCTTTAAAGAGATTTCCATTTCATCTGATGATCTCCCGCAAATAAAGAAAGCCTTTAATCACTCAGTGAGGGAATGGTCTTCACTCTTTACGCCTCAGACTTTATTTACCCATGGTCTTGGTCCTCAGCCTGTTGGCAAGTCCTTTGTAACTATATCTTGAAAACTTAATAAAAGGCTTCTAGCTCAGTTCAAAGAAGGCTCAAGTGACCTCCCACCTACTTTCCCCGCCAAGAGGAAAAAGGAGAAGCCCACTGTTACAGCACAAGGAGTCTACCTATTCTAGTTGTTTCTCCACATGTATCCGACTCGCAACTCCCTCATCAGCTTGTGGATGAGACTAGGCCACTCCTTACTGAAGCAGGGGTACTCCCCTCAAACCCCTACTTTTCAGCAGCATCGGTTCTAGGCAATGCTCAACTTGTATTTAAGAAGATAAGTGTGTCTTTGTCGAAAGAGGATATGAATTCTCATCCTCCAACTGAGATTGTAGACCGGCTCATACATGATCTTGCATGGGTTAAATCTTTCACTATCCTCTGTTTTTTATTTAGCTTTTATTTTCCTCTTCATTTTAACTTCTTGTTCTCATATGCGTACAGGTTAATACACACGCTTATTACTTATCGTGTTTAGCTGCGAAAGGAGGGGAGCATTACACCAATATCTTGGCTTCTATTCGTTCCCAACACTAAGCCACTTTACAAGCAGAGCATGTTAAGATAGAGGCAGAACGAGCTTATCATGCATCCAATGTGCAAGAGCTCAACAAGGAGATGTCTCAGAAATTGATGGTAGAGAGATCCAATGCAGTTGATAAGTTTAAAGCCTCACCAATCTTCAAGAAGATTATGTCGAAGGCCTACTTTAATGGTTTCGAAGATTTTCGGAATCGTGCTGCTTCTGAATTTTCAGACAGATTTTTCTGTCATTCAACTGGATGAAGCAAGTGACTCCGAGCAGGATAAATGTGTAGTTATTCATTTATTTGCTCCCATTTTTCTCTTTATGGTTGAGACTTTTCTTTCTTTGCAATTAGTTTCCATTTATATTTGCAGGGTTGATAAGTAGGATGGACAGTTATGTTTTGCCATTGCGATTGTTGCTTTATGTTATTTTACACTTGATTTTATTGATATCTTTATTCAGCTCGTTCCTTTAATAAGGGAAGTAGATTAATACGAGTTTCACTCAGCTCGTCTCTTTTAATAAGGAAAGTAAATTAATACGAGTTTCACTCAACTCACCCTTTAATAAGAGAAGTAGATTAATACGAGTTTCACTCAGTTCACCCTTTAATAAGGTGAGTAGATTAATACGAGCTTCACTAAGCTCACCATTTAACAAGGGAAGTAGATTACTATGAGCTTCACGCAGCTCACTCTTTAACAAGGGAAGTAGATTAGTATGAACTTCACTCAGCTTATCCATTTAACATGAATATCTTAACATATCAAAATGGTAATGAATTATTTGAAACAACTGATTCAAGTAGGGAATACTTTATTAAAAGTAAAGTTGATAACAGTGTTATTGAAGACACTCATTTGTAGAGAATAAAACAATTATTGAAACTAAAAGTATTAGCAAAAACTAATAATAAATTGAGATTAAACTGAAATTGTTTACTGATAATATTTCTTCAGATGCTCAACATTCCACGAGTAAGGCAATGGCTTTCCCTCTAAGTCCTCCAACCCGTATGTTTCTGGTCTCTGACATCACGTAACTTTGTAAGGTCATTCCCATTTGGGATCTAGTTTCGCCATAGTTGAATCCTTGGTTGCTTGAGTAACTTTGCGGAGTACCAAATCTCCTACTGAAAACCTCTTAGGCTTGACCCGAGCATTATAATACTTGGAGACCATCTGGTGATAGGCAGCCAACCTACTCTGTGTTTGGTCTCTTCTTTCTTAGATCAGGTCCAAGCTTGCTTCCAACTCCCTTTAATTATGCTTGGGCTCGTAGTGCTCTGTCCTAAAGCTTGTTAAGCCAATCTCTACAGGGACTACTGCCTCACTTCCAAACGCTAAAAGAAAGGGGTTTCCCCTGTGGGAGTCCTTACAGTAGTACGGTAAGCCCATAATACACTCGGCAGCTGCTCAGGCCACAGTCCCTTTGAAGCTTCGATTCGAGTCTTGATCATCTGAAGGATTGTTCTGTTAGTGACTTTGGCTTGTCCATTCGCCTAGGGATATCCTGGCAATGAGAAATGAATTTGGATCCTGAGCTCGGAACAAAAAATTTTGAAGTGAGAGTTGTCGAACTGTTTTACATTGTCTGTGACAATCACTCTAGGAATCCCAAATCTGCAAACTATTGACTTCCACACAAAGTTCTTTATATTGTTCTCTGTTCCTTAAGTTAAGTGCATCTTTTTGCATAGTGGGCCAATAGTATCCTTGTCGAATGGCCTTGTTGGCAAGTGACCTACCCCCAGCATGGTTTCCACAAACTCCTAGGTGGATCTCCCTCAAGATGTAGTCAGCTTCCTCGCTGGAAACACATAGTAAATACCGCAGGGAGAAGCTTCTCTTGTAGAGCACCTATTTGATAAGCGTATACTTAATTGCTTACATCTTGACCTTTCGAGCTTCTGCTCGGTCTGTTGGTAGCACCCCATCCTTGATATATCTGATGATAGGATTTACCCATTCCACACTCAATACCGCTTGTTGTACTTCAATTTGTCTCTCCTGAGATGTAGATGGTTCATCCAAATATTTCAGTGGTATAGTCTTATTGATCTCAGGTTCTAATGTGGTAGCTAGCCGAGCTAAGGCGTTTATATTCCCGATCTCTTCTCGTGGTATTTGATTAATTGAGAATCTTTGGAAGTGATTTTTTAATTCCACCACCTTCTGTAGGTAACTCTTCATCTTCTCGTCCCTTACCTCATATTTCGCTCGAACCTGTCCAGCGACTAACTGGGAGTCGGTGTACACCTTTAATTGTTTAACCCCTTAGGAATTTGCCATATTTAATCCTGTTATCAAGGTTTCGTACTCTACCTTGTTGTTGGTTGCTTTGAAACCAAACTGAAGTGCGTACTGTCAGGGGCGGAGCGAGGAATTTGGTTCAGGGGGGGCATGTCATGAGATACCCCTCGGATTTGAGACACGGGTTGATCAGGCACAGGCCCAAACCCGAGGGAATATCAAATAATTAATATTTTATAATGAACACGGAATACAAAATAAATTAAGAAATGAAATTAAAGCTGGAAGGAACTAAAAATAGAATCCGCAACATATTATAATTATTAAAATCCATCAAACCCAAACTCCAAAACTCCATCAATTTACAACTTGGGAATCCATCTCTAGTGGACCCCTATTAAACATCCAAACGGAAGATAGAACAACTGTAATAAACGTCCAAAAATAAAACTATAGAGAGAGCCCTACATCGTCGGAAGAGTGAATAGAGACCTCTGCTCAGCACGAACACGTCTAAGCCTGGAACTGTCGTGTACCTGAAAAATAGAAGTGGGTCAGGCCCACGCGCAAGTTCTATACTACTACAATCCAAACAGAGGCCCGATACGCATGTACATCCTAAACAATTCAACAATACCTAATAGTCCGTAAATATATATATATAGTCACACTAAAGGACTTTCACTGGACTACAGGCCGGTCTTAACCTGAATAGAGGTAACATGCTAAAACGCACACGAAGTGGGCATATGTACCTATACCTAAACAGGGTACACCTCCAACCATCGTAGCCAGCTACACATCCCGATGCATATACGCTCCCTAGCCATCGGTCCTGAGGGTCAAGCTCATACCGAGGCACCATAACAGTACATATATAAAATTCATCCAAAATCCCTGGTATTGCCGCTCAACCAGTAGTTGCCATGACAATACAAATCCACGGGACTTAACTTTTAGTTAATCCCATCCTTATTCCAAGTAGGTGGGTAATGGTATTGTTTTAAAAACCAAACCCATCCTTAGTATGCCACCGTCCCATACCAGTGCCTACTTTCCAATCCTCCAGTAGTAAATAATACCAATAAATCAAGTATATATCAACTAAATTCCAACATCCAACATTCAATGTTAGCAGTGATAAAATAAGCATTGATAAACAGGGTCACAACAACAACATATACATGCCCAATTTAAGTTGTTCCCTTTAGTCTGATATAAAGACAGAATTAATTAAAACTTCCATTTAACACCTTACAAATGACATACAGATATGTAGGGTATGTATCACAAAATCCTAACCTCCATAGTTGATACTAACTGTGATAATGTAAGCATCAAAATAATATTCACAGTATGTATGTAGACATGCTCAAATTATAGTGTTCCACAAAACCGATCTAGTGTTAAACTCAAATCCTCCTAGTATTTAAGTTCCAACAGTTGCTATTACAGAAGTTAAGATAGCTATCATCTAGACCCATCCTTCCAATAATTTATACTAGCAGTGGTAAGGAAAAACGTGAACCACAGAACCACAATGCATCCACAAACATGCTTAGTCTAGGTTGAACAAGCATATAACACTACTGTAACTACCAGTTTCATAGCAAAACAGATATCATTTTAGTTTGGTTTAATCTTCATTAATCCTGAAATCATTTAAGAGTGCAAAGAGTATGAAGCCTAAGGGAAAGAGTAAGGATAGAATCTTGCCTCAGAAACTTTTGTTCAAAGTTTCAACGTCGTCTTCTTAAAAAATCCCGGCGAGTTCCAAAACCCGGTTACTGTTAACGGGTACGAAATACTATTCCCGAACTCAAAATCTGATCTCCATCGTTCAGATTGTGCGACACTGAGTCATGAACCTATCCTCCAAATTTCAGCTCAATCGGACCACGGACGAAGCGGGACCGGATGTTTGATGAAATCTAGGCAGAATAGAAAAAAAAAAAACCTGTGCGACCCAGTTACTGTTCACAAGTACGAATCACTGTTCCCGAGGTCAAACTCTGATCTCCACCGTTCAGACTATGCGTCACTGAGTCGTGAACCTCTCCTCCAAAATTCAGCTCGATCGGACCACGGACGAAGCGGGATCGGATGTTTGATGAAATCTGGGCAGAATGGAAAAAAAAAACCTGTGCGACCCAGTTACTGTTCATGAGTACGAATCACTGTTCCCAAGGTCAAACTCTGATCTCCACCGTTCAGATTGTGCGTCACTGAGTCCTGAACCTCTCCTCTAAAATTCAGCTCGATCGGACCACGGACGAAGCGGGATCGGAGCTTTGATCAAACCTTGGCAGAATGTGAAAAACTGCGTTTTTCCTTCTCCACTTCCACAAAACGTGTGCTTTGTTTAAAAAAAACCCTACACAGACGTCTACCTTATACTTATAGAGTTTTCCTAAACCCTAGGTTCATTTAAGTCCAACTCACAATCCTAACCGGCCCATCCAATTAACGTAGAAACCTACGACGGCTATAATATAAAACCCTAATTTATACTGTAATTAAAACCCTAGTTAGATATATTTACCTAATTACCCTATTCACCATTAAATACTTAACAAATAATCTAATTGAACAAACTAATAATTAGTAAACCCAATTAAACCAAATAAGACACACATAAAATAAGACACACATAGAATAATTAAACCAATTACACTTAAACCATTAATGCCAATTAAATAATTAAAATACTAACAAGTAATTCCAATCAAATAACTAAACCAATTACACTTAAACCATTAATGCCACTTAAATAATTAAAACATTAACAAGTAATTCCAATCAAATAACTAAAAATAAATATCATTTAAATAAATTAAATCACCACAAAAGAAATAAATTAAACCTAATAAAAAAAATAATGACACATAATCAAATAAAATACACTTAAATAATAAATTAAATACCATTAAATACCAGGAATATCCTTTTTAAAATTAGGGATATTACATTCTTCCCCCCTAACAAAAGGAATTCCGTCATCGGAATTCACTCTTACCTTCTTCCAATATTTCAGGAAACCGTGAGCGAATGACATCCTCTCGTTCCCAAGTGGACTCAGACTCATTGTGATGACTCCACTGAACACGAACCAAAGGAATAACTTTATTACGAAGAATCTGATCTCGTCGGTCGACAATACGACACGGTGGCTCTAAATAAGTTGCATCCGGCTGCAA